TCTGGGAAAACCATCCAACCACATAACTTGACAAATGATCAGTGCCAAATATTCTTAACATTAACTATGAGGATGCAGAAAAGAATTAAAAATCTGAAGAAAAGCATGAAGATGGTTTCTGGTCATTTTGGCAAAACATAAACAATTGGCACTTATAAACTGATTCCTAGAGAAACTGTAGTTCTCTATAAATACTAAGTCAAACTCACAAAATATGAGTTACTATAGTACATAAACATGATAAATGGCACAGGTTAACATTACATGGTTGATCTTCCTGTTTAGGAATCATCAGTATGCTTCGATGGAAAGTAAGATTAATTTCATCGTGCTCTCCTTACGGAAACGGATCACATGAATCATAAAAATAGACTGCACAAGTATTTAGAAGCTCTTCCTTACATTTCCTTTCTCAGTTTTCTTGAGTGAAGTTTGGGAGATTATGTATTTACAAAATTTTATTGCAATAAAATCACATTTTAAAAGTATTTTGCAAACGTTACATAGGTAATTAAAATAGAATGTTTAATTCTTACAGAATCTTTTTCTGATCGATTTCTTGACTGTTGTGAAAGCAGCTTCTGGATGTCCCCACACACGTATGCATACATATGTTGCTTACTTTATACAGCCTTAATAGAAAAGGCTATTGGAAGAGCCAGGAAAAGTAACTAGAGCTACATTAGAATTAAAAATCCAAACATAATTACTTGCATATGAGCCATGATCAAATTTAATTAAATCTAAATCTAATAAGATCACTAAGCAGTACAATTGCATGAATTTCTCACAATCAAATTCTCAGAATAAAAAAGTGATCGATGCTTTTAAGGTGCTAATCTACATGGATTTCCTTTTTCATTATCACAGGAGAAAGAACTGGAAAACCTGGCTGCTATGGATCTGGAACTGCAGAAGATAGCTGAAAAATTCAACAATAAACAGAGAGGATGAATTTTATTTGACGTAATGTGGTATGGTGAAGAGAAGCTTTATTTAAAGTATCCTGTATTTACTAGTAAAGTCACTGCCTCAAATGTTGTTCTTCTCCCTAATTAGAAATAGTTTACCATCCTTTAAATATATAATTTACACCAGTACAAAGCATCTTTCTGTTCCAAAAGATTTGTTCAGATCAGCATGAATTCTTGCCTTCTGAATTTTGAAATGTATGAGGATAATTGTGTGTGCGTTCTTCAGAAATATATTATCTCGGTAAAAAATAATAAACTTTACATTGTCTACATACTGTAGTTAACTGCATGTGCTCCTGCATAGCTTGTTTATGATTTACATAGTTAGATTTGTCAGAGGAGACACAGTAACATGCTTATAAATCTATATTGAAATTAGGTTTTTTTGTTCCTTATAAATTAGTTGTATATTCTGTAGTACCATAAAATCTACTTTGGGAGTCTGACAGCACCAAAATAGATGCACCATCTACTTCTATATTGTTATGAGATAAACTGAACACTCACAGTTTATGAAAAAAGGACACTGGCTGCAGCCCACTCACAAAAGCATTGAATGTGCTTCTTAAACTACCCACAAAGTTTCTATGGAACTGTATTTTTAAAGTCATTGATACATAAGTGGTTAGCTACATAATTGCTGCCTTATTTATAAATATAATAAAGGCAGGATTAAAAGAAACTAAAATAAATATTCACAACATTTATAGTAATTAATTTTAATGTAATATGTATTTAGTTTTATTGTACACTCATTGACTTTATTTTGGGCTCACTCACTTTTGGTGATATGGTTCTCACCACACTACTCAAGCAATACAAAAATTAGAGATACTCCAGCTTTAAAACAAAATGAAATCTTAACCATCTGGTAGTATCAGAATACCTGAAGGAATTACGATAGTGAGGTATTCAACAGGACAAAGTTTCTGCTTTTCATCATATTCTGATGCTGATGAAGAACTTCGTGAAACTTCCAACTTGTTATTTTGTAGCTGTTAATTCCAGTAGCACTTAAGCAGATTCTTTTTATTCATCTTGATAACAGGCCTGGAAAATGCTGATTCCTTTATATGAAAGCGAGCAGGCTTTGTTTATTCTCCAAAAGCACCAGTAGTATCAATGATTTTTATTAGAAACAAAAAAATTTCTACTGCACTGATTGTAATGTACGATTTCAGGGGCCAAGATTTCAGCACTTAAGGACTGCTAGCCAAAGGCATTCTGGCCTCAAAATACCAAACCAGTCACACAAATATCAAACTCATTAAACATTTAATTAAAAAGTTAAATGACTATAAAACATGGGAAGCACAATTGTGGATAGGTATGTTCGCTATTGATCTGAGGTAGTCAATATTTTCATAGGTCATTTATTATAACTAGCATTCTCTATTCTTGATTCTGATTGCCACCTACTGAATGTTGGAAATATTGCTTCATATCATGAGCATAAATGAACATTCCTTCTGCTTTTTCAAGGCCAAATTAAATAGGTTGGGGAATCAACTCCAAGTGATTTTTCTTCCTACCATAACTCAACTGAGAAAGATTAAAATCTTTCTGAGAAAGTAGGCTAATAACCTGGATTCACAGGGTATTTTCCAGAGGAAAATGTCTCCAGGTTGATTTTGTACCTGAAGTATATGTGAACTATGCATTTGTTGCATTTATAGACTGCCTTTTTCTAGATCACTGAAGTGCATGGGGGAGCAACTCCTCAATATTGTTAAAGTAATAACAGTTTAAGTTTTTATGGGCTATGTTACACATGACTCTCACAGAAGCTGTTATTCAATGTTTACATGCTTAATGAAACTGATTAGACAAAATTGTTCAGGGACCAGAATGAACTTCCTAACTGAGGTGGGAAATAAACATACATTTTAATGATTGGGCCCCAAGTTTCAGGTTTTAGATTACATTATAGATTTCATTGTTGTTAAAATTAGAATGCCACAGGATTTTAAACTGTTCCATCCTGCTGAAATGCTTTTAAGTTAGCTAACATCATACATGGGATACTATTATAGTTTGGCTACTAACTTGCATAACACTTGAGGCACTTGCCTATGTTAACCAATGAGATGAAAGCTTTTGTTTATGTGCCATCACATCAATGTCGCCTCTTAATTTTCTCTACGACAATCTATCTCTAACCTGGTCTTTCAAGTCTTCAGATGGTGCATTCATCATCACCGTAACTGAGTCCATCCACCTTGCTGCTGGTCATCCTCTTCTCTTTCCTTCCACCTTTCCCAGCAGTGCAGTCTTTTTCAGAGAGCTAGATCTTCACATAATGTGTCCAAAGTACGATCATTTGTACCTTATCATTTCGCCCGGAGTGACAATTCTGGGTTGATTTGTTTGATGACCCATTGGTCCATGGTATACTCAAGAGTCTTCTCCAACACCAAATTTCAAGTATTTAAATTGCTTTACAAAACAATTTACATAGCTATCCAGCAAGACTTTCAATATGGGTATGGAAAAAAAAAAAAAGAGCAAAACTCCAGTAGAAGGTAACACATTGTACACAAAGCATTCTTTGCTTTCTCAGCCTTGCTGTGATATATTCTAGTGATGTAGTTAGTTATTACCAAGTTCATGGCACAGTAAGTTTTTAGCTCCCCGGTTCTGCTTTAACTTAATTACTTAGCAAACCAAGCTCTGCAGTGGATGCAATGATAACGCAGCCAAGTGGCGGCTAGATTTTTATTTATTTATTTTCAAAGACATTTGCACAGGGTTCATAGGAATATTTGTATGTGTATGTGAGTAATCCTTGCCTTACAAAAGCAAATGAGACTGGAATTGCTGTTGCTAAGCGACACAGCCATAAAGCATGGAATCAGGTGATTGTATCTCTTAGTGACAGTAATTCCAGCAGTCCCAGATATTGTCATTAAACAAGGACTTCATGTGACCATGACTTCCAACTTCCTGCCAGCTTTTACCATTGATTTTGCTTGTGGGAAGCTGGCAGGGAACCCCAGAATTCAGGATCGCATGACCGCAGCTCACTGCAATGTGATAATTGTGAGCTGGGTGCAAAGCACCCAGAATGCAATTACACAACTGTGGGGACACTGTGATGCTGGACCTCCAAGGACCAGTTGTAGGTACCACTCATTCTGCCCCACTGTAACGAAATACCACCCAGTTGTCTTCTACAAGGGATTGTTTATTTATTTATGTATTTATTTATTTACCAGTTTCATAAGGCTGCTCAAACAATGTGATTCCAGGCAGTACCCAACAAATGAAAAAAAAAAATCCTAAAAAAGATCCATGTAACATTAAAACATACATGATATACTATATAAATTTGAAATATAGAATATGCTGGTAATCAAGCACCATAATAAAAACAGCTGAAGGGGAATCCCATTCAACCAGCCCCAAATGCTTGTGGGGAAAAGCCAAGCCTTAAAGCTGATAGTTGATTATCTTCTTAAATTAAAAATAAAGGATTGCTCTATGATCTGGATTCAAAGGGGAAAACGTGATTTAGACCATGTTTATAGAAGAATCACCATACTGGCCTACAGTTCTTTCAATCAAACCCATCTATTTCAAGGATCTTTTTTTATATCTCTTTCAAATGGGTCTGTCTCTTTTTTCTTTATTAGACTCTTTATACCGTAACTTTCTCTGAGTCATTCAAGACGGCTTATAAAAGCGGTGTACAAATGCTAAGAACTGAAGAAATAAATTAAGCTGCAAAAACAGCAACAGATCCAAAATTAAAACTGAAAGATATGATCAATGTTCTAAACCTTGACTCCCAAGAGTGTATCAAGAATTTCATGGTCCCTATTGAGATACATATCTAGCTAGAACTTGTTTGAATTTGGGTGAATGGGGATCAATTCACAAATACAAGACAATACAGAGCCCAATACAATGGCAGGTGAACTTTTGGGGCCAATGAGCACATTGGGAAACACACCAGCTGGTTGCCATCCTGAAGGCTTCTTACTTTAACAATCCTCTCTTGCTTAAAAGAAAAAAATAATTCATGTATCACAAAATAATATAATTTATTCAAATGCAAATTTACAGATTAAAAACTCCACATAAAAATATAGTTATTACATGTTAAAAAGATGGAAACCAGGTTTATTTTTTTTTTTTAAGTATTAAATGAAAACAGACTAGCATTACTTCTAACATTTCCAAAGTAATATGTAATGTTTGTTTTTTTTTTAATTAATAATGGTTAAAATATGCAATAGTCTAGCATTAATCTTGCATTTCTCACTGATAATAGTACAGCATTTTGAAACATTCATTTCACTTAGTTAAAAAAAACATTGATTTTAACAGAAATGGAAATGGGATTAGTGTAAACATGGTTTTTGAATTCAAAACAAAATTCTGAAATAGAATCGAGCTGGACTTTCAGTCAATTTTTGCAACATTTCCAGGAAGACTGACACTTAATCATATTCTTCTAAAGCAGGGATATCAAACTCAAGGCCTGCGGCCCTGATGTGGCCTGAGGGGTGCTTAAATCTGGCCCGTGAGGTCAGCCTGGAAATATCAAAGGACCGGCCTGCGGTGCCTCTGCTGGCCAAAACGGGCCACAGGCAGTCTGCTTGCAGCCCCCGTGAGGCCCATTTTTGGCCAGCAGAATGCTTTTGGAGGCTGGGGAGGCAAAAAACGGGCTGTGCGGAGGCTCCGTGAGGCCCGTTTTCGGCCACTATGGCCTCCAGCAGCACTCTGCTGGCCAAAACCAGGCCACATGGAAGCCCCATGAGGCCTCCACTCAGCTGGCCAAGTGCTGCAGGAGGACTGGATTACAATTATGTGGCCTAAAGTAAGTGCCTGATCTGGATAGAAAATAAACAACATCCTATGTTAATACTACAGTTTAATGCCAGATTTTACATGCTGTAGGTCAATTTAATCTACAATCAACAATCCATAATTGACAGCCATTTCCATTTACTATCCTGGAAATTTATCCCTGCTGTTAGGTCTTGTATTATCACGTTATTTATGCTATTGTATTTTTATTATTAGTTGAATAGTATAAATAGCTTTTCCAGGCAATAGTATAAATTGCCTAGAAAAGCAATTTACTATTAAACAATGGGGTATAAATTTAGAAATAAAAAGTTTAGTGGAGTATGAAGAATAAGTAATAAATGTTTGCCTGTAATATCTGGTAGAAGAGACAGAAAAATTGTTATAGTAAAGAACTGTGGAAAAAAAGAAGGGAAAAGCCACATCTTGAGCCTGTGTCAAACACCCACCATGATCCCCCCACCCCCACCCACCCCCGTCCGAGGTCAAACACAACCCTGATGTGGCCCTCAATGAAATCGAGTTTGACACCCCTTTTCTAAAGTAATGCTCCATAAGTTATGGGGACGACCTAAGTCTGGAATGACATTGGCAATAAAAACATTTGGTTGAACCTGATTGATTTAAAAAAGAACCTTCAGTTGCAAATGGAAAACAAAGTGCATTCCGCTGGGCCTTTAAATTCAGTTAGTAACAGAGCACAAGGATAATTTCTTGAAGCATTACTGGTGTTCTTGAAGCTTACGCTTTTTAGAAGATGGCTCGTCTAAGCAGTCACTGGTATTTATGCTTTCATTTTTAACAGTGATACCTGTCAGTAGGTACCCACCGCCACCACTTATTATCAATTTGGGATGACTTCGATCTGGCAAGATCTTAAAAATAAGAAATGGCAAATAAGCTATGTAATAATTGCAGTACTAAAGCACATTCTGTGAGGCTCATGGATCAGACAGCAATAAAAGATTTCAAGAAGACACATATTAGACAAGTGTAAAAATCAGACAGTCGATGCCACTTAATTTGCCTTGCAGAAATTTCATAAAAAGAAATTCTTACCATTATGCTACATTGATGAGTTATGAATCAATTACAATATCAAACTAAATGAATATTTTTATTAGGTCATTGACCAGAATTGGAAACAAAAATACATTAACAATAAAAACAAAACAAGATAAAATATACAATAAGTGGCAGGCTTGCCAGTGAATAATCAGAGAATAGTTATAATATGAAATTACTTTGCATAGTCTGAACAATGATCTACCGTATTTTTCGGACAATAAGATGCATCCCCCCCCAAATGTGTGGAAATGTCTGTGCATTTTATAGAGCGAATATTGCGGTTGTGGGAGGGGGGTTGGTGCGGTGCCGATCAGCTGTTCTAAGTGGCGGGGATTGCTGCTGCTGCCCCTTTGTGGCAATTGATGGCGAACGGGCCATGGTGAACGAGTTGCGGCGGCGGCAAACGGGCCACAGAGGCAGATTTTCCCCCCTTGTTTTCCTCCTCTAAAGCTAATGTGCATCTTATAGTCTGAAAAATACGATATTTTCTATTCCCCATTTTTTCATAATTTCAAATATCTATTTGATCAGAGATGCATAATTTCCCTCATTTACTTGCATTTTCTGCGGTACATATATGTTTGTAATTCTTACCTGATAGTTTCGTAACCATGTTTCAGAAAGTTTCAGATTAATGACACCACCTTTCTCTCTCAGTTTTGCATAACATTCTAGTAGTGGCTAAAACAAGAACATCTGGTTATATGAATTTACTGAAAAAAATCTTTAAAAAGATTAAATTAAGAAAATATATTAGGTTCACCTCTTTATATTGGCAGTAGACAACAAAAGGCCTTGAAGGAGCTACCAGCTCTAACAATAGGAGTAATAAACTTGTTGGATGAAATCGACTGGCTACAATTAAACTGTAATGGAAAGTTAGACACAGGTTAGCTGCATTTCTAAATATCAAGACTGTTACTTTTTGGCTATGAAAAGATATAAAAATAATTTGAATCCCAGATTAAATCTTAAAAAAACATGGAAGGAAAAGGCTTCAAGTTACAGTGGTGATATGAAACCAGGTGGTTTTGCCAAAATTTGAGGAAATGTTGCTGCCCACATTAAGGAGGGCTAAATTAGAGAGGCTTTCTCAGATATAGATTAGAAACAATTTTCATGAATTTCCTCAACTTTATTTTAGATTTGAACCATTATCTTTTAATGCACTTGTTATTTTCCTTATATAAGGACTTCTAACCCTATAAACAGGCTGATATACCGAAGAATCCTCTCCATCATAGGGATAACTGTACAGGCTTTTGTCATCCTATCAGTGCTGAAAATATTTTGAACATTTACAGAATTTTTCGATCTAACACAGAAATTTAACAAGCTAATGAAAAAAAAGGAAAATCCAGAAAGGGCTGAGCCTTGGCTTTAAGCTTCAAGCTATATAGACAAGTAACCCTTATCCACAAACGATGAACACTAACACACCCAGTTACATTTTTAGAATGACAAATTCTCTTTTGAAAGCAATTACAAAACAAGATATTTCTGGACATGTTCAATATTACAAGAGAGCTCTCACCCATCAGCATCCTTGTTTTTCAATAAAGCAGCAGCTGCTATCAGCTTTCTCTTCTTTTCCTCTTGTTTCTTTTGTTTGTCATGTGTCTAAAATATGTATAAATTCAGATTAAATGATTTTAAGAACTAGAGAAGTTCTAAAAACAATTCTCTCTGCAATATTTTGCAAAAATACACATTTTAGGCTGATTTGGGCTTAATTTTCTAATGCCTTCCTCAAATGTAAAGGTCCACTTGAAAGATGTTAAAAACAACAAAATGTATTCTAGTGCTTCAACCTGAAATACTTCAAATAATTAAATATATTGCTAATTTTTTTAAAAAAGTAACTTGTGTTAAATATTATTGCAATAAAGTCAGATAATTATCTTACATCGCTATATATCAGCTTTAGACACTGAAATATTTTAACTTATAGCTGACTAAATATGAACAGAAATCACAATTATTCCAAAAATATTTCACAATTGATAAAATTATTTCTGTGCTATGACTATATTTAGCAATGCAGAGTACACTGCACTTATTCACATTTCTAATTATTATTAAATCTAATTTCTATCAAAAGATCTAATAATTAACATATAATGCAGATAAGCATAACAGAGTAAACATTCATGTAATAACTGATGCTGCAATGTGAACTGAGAAGCGTACTTACTTAAATATCAATGGTTCAATTATTTAATTAAATTTAAACTATCATAAAATGGTAGGAACTTACTGTCCCCTTGGCTTTATCATCAAGTGCATCCGATGCAAATTCCACTATTTCTTGATCTTCAGGTTGGCCACTCTCCATAGCTACCTCAGGACTGCATTCCACATCTACTTCTGGTATAGAAAGTTCCTTGTCATCCCCAGAACCATTGTCTTCTATCACTGGTGTTTTTTCTTCGCACTCTGAAGGCAATGGTGTTAAAGAAAATGTTCCAGACAGAACGCTGGCCACTTTGCTGAGGGGGAACTCAGAGAGTGTGTCAAAAAAAGTTTTAGGAAATCCAAAACAACTTGTGGCTGCTCTAACAGGTCCTTCTCCTGGATATATCTGAACAATCGATCCATAACCTGCAAGTACAGATCAAAGTCAAATACAGCCAGCATAAACTAGGTTTATACTAATACACTGTGTCAATCTAAACAAACCATTTTCTCTCAAACACAGCATTGACTTGCATGAAAGAAAATAGAAATCATCTACAATTCTTAACATCATCACAAAGAATGTTCTGCAAAACTGGTTACGTGACACATGCATCTGTGCAAATAATGGATTATTCATGTGATCCAAAAATGTTGAGCTTTATACAAGCATCTACAGGTGATTTCAATTCAAATTACTATGGACAAGTGAAAGATTATTTGAACTTGTCTTGGCCCACTTTCACAAACTTGGCCATTCAGTCAGGTGCTGCGTTTTTGTATTACAGCATCTGTCTTCCTTGGTTCCTTATGTTGTCTAGCAAATGTGTTCTGAAACCCAGCTGAGTTCCAAAAGTATTTCCAAAATGGAATGGGGCAAAACCAGTCAAGAGAAGCAAACCAAGCAGCCATATTTTGACTAACTCTTCACGCTAAATTCAGTGAACACTTTTAACAATAGCTATATTCACAATAACAGAGATTTCCCTCTTTATCTGCTTACTTCTCCATAAAACTTGAAAATAGTTGTTAGACAAAAATAAATAAAGCAGAAGGACAAAACACAATTGTCTTTCCAAAAGTATCTTATTTCTCTACTCTTCTGGCATCTTTATATTTTGTAATCAATGTTTTGCTTAGAAAGCTCCTTATCCAGCTTAACTGTAAGGAAAAAAAATCATAGTTTTCAAATCAAATGCACATGCTACCTATAGAAATATTACTATTAAATATTCACACTCCCAGTTGTATACATTATATTCTGCTCTTCTCACCTCCCATTCGTTCCATTACAGCTCCCAGCACCAGTCCTGCACAGGTTTCCATTACTATCATCTTGTTGCCAGCATGAACATTTCCCCAAGTTAACATCTGGGCTAGAGTATCATACCGCAAATGGCTAGGACATTTTGGGAAAAAAATATATAGATTACTTTTGCTGTGAATTAAAATACTTAAGAATATAACAAATTTTATTAGACATACCGGATTTCTAGTTCTAATTTATATTTTGAATAAATATAAATTCTGACCGTACAGATACAATAATATTTATTAAACATGTATTTTGCCCAGCTCCCAATAATTCTAGGCAGCTTGCAATAAGAAATTACAATACAATCAATAAAAGTTGATGTGTTCATTCCACATGGAATGAAGCAAGGGGTCTCATTCTCCCTTACAAAAGGCCTGGGTGCTGTTGTGGATGGAAGCTGAAAAATGCTTTAACTCATTGTTTGTTCAGTACCAACATAGTTTATGTAATACTGATGAGAAAAAGTATCAGCAGAAATCTGCAGGTTAGTTTTTGCCTTTGCCTGCCAAAAGGAGACTTTTGAGAGAAAAAAAAAATCTAAATTCATGCAGAATAAGACTAATTCTAGTCCACTTGGTAGCCATCATCAGAATCTCCTATTTTTTTAAAAAAAAATCCACACACCCAGATTATTACAAATTATATTCGGTCAAGAAAAGAATCTTATATTTTATGCATCAATTGTATCCATCTGTAACCATTGGTGGGAGGACATTTATCCACTCATTTACTGCTAGATGTAGTCCAACAGATACCCCATATAACTGAAATACATTAAGCCTTACTTGATCTTTCCTGGTTCTCTTGCATAGTACATTGTTGATAATATACGAGTAGATGGCTTTATGATCGTAATAACTGCCTCATATCTGTAAGCAAAGCAGCACAAATAGTGTTAAAGCTATTTATGATTTGTGATTCACTGAACATTCTGTTTTCTAAAATTCAACTTACTTCTTTTTCTTTTTTTTGATGTATTTATCTTGAGCAAATTCTGTTTTGTCTCTAAACGTGGTGCTGTTCTCTATTAATTGTTGAACTATTTCCTTCAAAAAAAGACAGGTTAATCATTCTCTTCTCATAGCTATTTATAAAGCATTTCAACCAAAACAAAACACAAAAGTCCTCAGTATATAAACAGTGACTAAGGAGCATCCAAGTAAAAATTAAAAAAGAAATTAAAAAGCCAGTTTGCTGTAGTGGTTAAAGTACCAAGACAGAAACAGGAGACTGTGAGTTCTATTCCAGCCTAAGACACAAAGCCAGTTGTTTGATTTTGGGCCAGTCAAACTCTCAGAAGGAGGTAATGGCAAACTATTTCTGGGGAAAAAAATATGCCAGAAAAACTGCAGGGACTTGCCCAGGCAGTTGCCAGAGTTAACATTGACTTGAAGGTGCGCGCGCGCACATACAGAATAGAAAATATATTTATTCTCAATGTAGTTATGCATCTACCAAATGTGAGGCCAACATTTAGCCATAAACAATCCAAAGAATTACACATGAAAAGCAGTACCAGTGACTTGAATGATATAAAATGGATGTTGTATTCCATTCATTATGATGATACATATCATCCAGTCAAGACAGAAATATAGTTGAGTTGTAAAGTTAATATTTTATATGAAATAGTTCAAGATTCAATCCTTCAAGACTTTTAAAGGAGTGGCTTGTATTTAGTATAGAAAGGCAACTGCCCTTTATTATAAATCTAATAATAAATTTATATCCTGCTTTTTCTTTGGAACAAAAGATAGCTTAAATGGAGTTCTAGCCTAGTTTTATTGTGATATTACTCTGATGCCCAACTGGGCTGAAATATATCAACTGGCCTAAAGTCATCCAGTGATTTCTTTTGGTTGAGTAGAAACTCAAATGTGTTTCCTCAGTTTAATTCTACAATTTCAGTCACTATATAACACTTGTTCATATTCTTCAACAGACAAAGATTTTAATTGTTCCTAGCAGTATAGCTTTCTAAACAGAAAATATTCACTTGTGACATGAAGCAATAATATGCAGTTGAGAATTCAAGATTACCTGTCCTTTGATGCCTTTATCCTTCAAAGCCTTTATATCATCATGAGTCAGTTTTTGAGACTTTCCATCATCTATTATATTACGATTATCTGTACCTGCTTCTTTTGTTTCTTAAAAAAAACCCAAAAATATAATAAGTTTGTAAGAACTGTTACTAAAGATTTAAAAATATTATTTCATATCATAGATGATTTATAACTGGTACTGTAATTATCTAACAGACAAAACAGGAAACTGGGATAACTTAAACCCTTGTACTAGTTTATCAGGCAAAAGGAAATGTTAGTGTAGCTTTTTTCACTTGTGCTTCTGATTGTTTTTTGTCAAACAAACAAGATTTTTTTAAATTAAATCTTGATTAAATTTAATATTTCAATGATACTAGTGTATTTTAGCTTGCCCATATCTCACTAGGACTCTTGCAAGAATGCTTATCTCTTATATAAACCGTAAAATCACAGTGTTCCCAAAATTATGATTTGCTACTACGTATTGTCAAGAAATGGAAACTTTCTCAAGTAAATGCTACAAACCAGATTTGAACAAATAATATAGCAGTTTGGATTTTATTCAGATATTTCCATTGTTTATTAATAATTTAGATATTAAAATAGACATGTTTCTAACATGGTAATTTTTTGTTCTGACCATCAAATATAGCTGCTAAATCTAATTTTGAGTTTGAATCTACACTTCTATTTAGTTATATACATTTCATAAAACTTCCTTTCAACATTTTTCATCACATTTTCATCAAAGATGAATGTTCCTGCACACAGACTTGCCAATCTATAAAATAGGCTAGTAGTTCTCAACCTGTGGTCCGTGGAACCCTGTGGGGGCTCCACGATGTTGTCACAGGGTCTGTGAAGTCTTGAAGAAATGTTATGATTTAAATCTTGGGAGTATGGCCAAAAACTTATTTAAAGGAGGTCCGTGGTGAAGAAAACCATCGAGATAGGCAAAGATTCTTATCAGAGTTTCATGCCACCAATGTAAGAACTTATTTTTTGTATAGATGTTGATAAAAATTTTCTATGCTGCCATAAAAACTGGCAGGTATCAGTCCATCCATCCATCCATCCAATTTATTGGCAGCCCATCTTACAAGGTAAGTCTATGGTTTTATCACATATAAAGCACAGACTGAAAGTTGTAACTCATACTTCCCTTGTTCCTCAACCCCATATTGTACTTTGTTCAGGAAAAGTATCAAGATTATAACATCAAAGCATACACATTCCATATTTTCGCTATTTAAATAATTTCTAGCTGATTCATACCTGGATTCATCTCTTCTAACGTCCGCTTTGGCTGAAGACTACCACCACTAGTCACTTCAAATGATGTTCCATAAACATGCCCAATGGCATTATCTAAGCAGAACCACTGTTTTTCAAAAACAATTTTTCTAAAAAGAAAAGCATCAATAAATCAATTAGAAACATAGAACCCTGCAATATTCATAACCCAAAACCCGAAAAAGGAATAAAATGGCATACAGTATATTCAACTCCAGTTTCAAGTGCAAGTAAGCAGAAATAGCTGTAAAACCATTGAGCAAGAGAAGCAGGTAAATTAAAATCATCAGAATTTATTTTACTAGGCTTATATACCATTTTAATTGGATTGGCTCACAATCCAATCATACATAAATAGGATTAAAACCAATAGATCACTCCATAAAATAGAAACATTTTATAGAAATAGAATGGAAAGATGGGGTACCTAAAAGTCATTACAACTCATACACAGGCATAATCTTCAATTTATCTCCTCTTCAAAGTTCTAGGGATATAATCTGGTGTTAATTACTTTTCCAAATCCCCAAAAAGTTGGTACTTGTTAAAAGGGGGCAGTGATTGAAAACTGTCTCTAAGAATCCTACAAAGTGCTTTTTTTAAGAGGGGAACTTGGAGAGACTCCACTCTCTTCTATTTAATTGAGTAGCCATCTTTATATTCCAGCAGACAATTCCTTAGTGGCTGCACCATGTTAAAGTTATTTTCCATTGTATTTGCTCTGAAATGAAACCAGATCTAATGTATAGCTTTCCATACAATTTGCACCTGTAACTTGGGGTAAGAGCATGACTGTCATGATGGTTATGAATTCCTAAATCAATTCTAACTCTTTTTCAAGGGAACAAATTAAAGTCCCTCAGTACCCTCAGCCTGTGAAGCTCCACTACCAATACAGATATGAGGTTCGGTCTTCTCACAATTGAAAGAACAATGCTGCTTCTTCCTAGAAAATTGAAATTCCACTAGAATAGCAATATTTCTTCTAATTTAAAAAATCATTTTAGTTTTTTAATATAACACACTTCTTAAATCTATTTCCAGCTTCATTAATGTGAAAATTATCATTTCCCTCTACTACTTTCCTAGGTCTTTCACCTAAGAAAGATAACAACCAATAGATTTTCTATTTTCAAGAATATAAACTGAAGTTGTTTTTTTCATCCCGGAAAACTGTCAGGCACACAAAATAAAGAACTCTGCATTTAAGTGCAAACAGAAGCATCTTGCCATTAAAAACCCCCTATATCATTCTCTGCTGTATGCAACCTTCAGCTCTCATTCCAATGAAATCTTAAAACCTCTCTGCTCAGATGGAGAGGTGAAGAGACAAGGCTGCCATGTGCAGTCCTTTTTTACCCATAACTATTTTCTGGGTATAACTGGAGAGCTGACAGCCCAGCTTCAGGACCCGAGCTTCCTGCACCGTGGTGAACTCCCGTTGCTTGCCCGAGCTCCTGCCCACCTATCATGTTTCCCTGAAAATAAGACCCTGTCTTATATTTTTTTGAACCCTGAAATAAGCACTTGGCCTTATTTTCGGGGAAGTCTTATTATTTGGGGGCACGTGGAGCAAGACGGGGCTCTTCTTGCCATATTACCTGATTTCCAGCTCTGTCTCCCTAACCCTAACCAGAGGAAATGGCGGGGACCGGCTGCACATGCAGTTTAATATTTTCAGGGAGGGCTTATTTTCAGGGGGGGGCTTATTTTAGCGCATGCGCTCAAAAGCCCAATTGGGCTTATTATCCGGGGAGGTCTTATTTTAGGGGAAACAGGGTAGCAGTTCAAAAACATGCAAATGAGAATAGATTAATAGGTACTACTTTGGTGGGAAGGTAACAGTGTTCCGTGGACATTTGGTGTATAGCCATGCTGGCTATATGACCATGGAAAATGTCTTCAGTCAACTCTAGCTTCCTTGCCCAAGGAACAGAGATGAGTACCGTGCCCTAGAGTTGGACACGACTGACAGGGAAACCGTTACCAATATTGTCTTTTAATACTTACATAATACTTCTGTTTCTGTGGAATCCGCATAATTTAGGCATAACCACACAAAGTCTTCTTTGGGTTCCACAACACTCTGTTGTGCAGTTCATCTGTTCGCATGCAGGTGCTTCTGCAATCCCAGTCAGGTATTATTCTGACTGGGGTTGCTTGAAGATTGTGTCCCACACAATTTTCTGTCAGTTTTTGGCAGTACCCACCTTTGAAGCCAGTAGAGCCTTAGCAGCAATATAAACACTTACTGTAATAACAACTATGGCAATTTTAACTTGGGTGGACTTCAACTCCCAGAATTCTCCAGGCAGCAGAGCTGGCTAGGGCAGAGGTCTTCAAACTTGGCAGCTTTAAGACTTGTGGACTTCAACTTGAAGCTTTAAAGCCTTAAAGTCTTAAAGCTGCCAAGTTTGAAGACCTCTGGGCTAGGGGATGGTGGGAATTGAAGTCTTAAAAGTGTCCAAAGTTGAGAAATACTTCTTTATAGTGTTGTGGTTTTTTTTTTGGAATCAAGTTTTATTAGTTTCCCCCCCCAACACCCACATATTTTATGAAACAGAGTATTGACCATATCATATCATATTCAACTTGTCATATCCAAATATATTTTACTTAGTTAGAATTTCTGCCAAAGTGTTCTTTTTCCATATTTTTTTATAGTGTATTTTTATAGAGTATAAATAACACATTCATAATAGAAATTACATAAATGCATAAACAAAAGTAGAGGGGTTTATGACAATTATATTGGCTAACCAATAGGCTGGCGGGAATGCACAGGTTTGAATCCTCTTGTCTAGGCATAAGGAACAATGGAAAAGCCTAACCGGCAACGGACTGGAACTTCTTTGAATGAAGTAAAAGGCTGCAGAAGATGAAGAAGAAGCGCCTCCGCTTCACCCTAACAGGAGAGAGAGGCTTACCTTCGCTTCACCACGGCGACCGCTTTGAACACGTCCCCCCGCTTGAGAACAGCCCAGTCTCCCTCGCAGATGACATGGGGAGAAGGGGACCGAGGAGGCGCCTCCATGGCGACCCTCCCAAAGTCCTCACGCTGAGGAACCTGACCGGGAAAAAAAAAGAAGAAAAAAAAAAAATCCTCGCGCACAGGCTCCAACTCAGGAAAGGCCCTCTTCCGGTTTTCCCCCAAAAGCACGAGCCGCGGAAGCGACTTTGTTTCCTCTCTTCTTGAAAAAAGCGGTTGGTCTGATTGGCATTTGGGTCATAAAGATCGAGGGATAGAGAGGCCGCTGAGCGCCATGTTGATCGTGACTGGTGCCATCGAAGGAGTCTGATGAACGGTTAAAAAAATAAATAAATAAAAAATACGGGCAACTGCAATCACAGGCGACTCTCTTGCACACTGACTTAAGGATTTCTCTTCGTAAGGTTGTATGGCCGCTCTATAATTTAACATCTCTATGTAGACACTCTTTTTTCTAGTTTATAACGTAGAGGTAGAAAAAAGAAGAGTGCTATTTTATAACTTACGGACCTGTCGCTTCCGGGCTCCTTTAATACAACCTCCGTTTCTGGCCGGACGTCGTGAAGAAGTCGGTGTCATAATGCTGCTATGGCACATAATCAATTCATGTGCAAAATATTCATTGCGAGATCCTAAGGCAGGACACGTCTATTTGCTTTCATTCGTAAAATGTTCTTTTTTACAAAGTGTTTCATCACAGTGATAATAGTATTATCTACACCAGGGATCTCCAACCTTGGCAACTTTAAGCCTGGAGGACTTCAACTCCCAGAATTCCCCAGCCAGCTTTGCTTGTAGATTGTGAGCTTTGCTGGCTGGGGAATTCTGGGAGTTGAAGTCCACCAGGCTTAAAGTTGCCAAGGTTGGAGACCCCTGAACTAGACCACGGGCGAAAGATGAGTTCATAGATACTTTAACAGCATATAAGCCCTGGAGTCCGATCATTCATTTTGCTCCATTCAAAATGCAGCTTCAGTTTATCGCCCAGCCCTCCCAACTACAGGAGAGGCTTAACTTGCTAGGACGCATAAAAGGACATATATAAACTTGAAAAACAACAATCAGGGTAATAACAGAAAGAGGAAAGGATTTCCTCTTTTGCGCTGCGCGGATAGGGCTTTTGGGAAGGGAATCGATAAGAAATTGGCACAATTATGCTAGGATCGTATACTCATTTTCGCTGCCTGTAGTCCAGTCAAATGGAGAGACAACACTTCCCTCTCGGTTCAAGCATTTTAAGACTCTCCCCAGCGGTTCAGAGGCAGGAAAAGCGCTCCTTTCTTCAAATCAACCAAGTGCGAAGTCTGCATGCCACTGATTCCCAACTTCGGCCACAAAAAAGAGTGAATGGACTTCAACTCCCAGAATTCTCTAGTAATCAGGGGTCTCCAACCTTGGCAAACTTTTAAGACTTGTGGACTTCAACTCCCAGAATTTGCTCAGCCAGCACATGCTGGCTGAGGAATTCTGGGAGTTGAAGTCCACAAGTCCTATAGTTTGCCAAGGTTGGAGACCCCTGCGTCTAAATTTAGAATTTGAGTAGACGGTGTTGTTTCTCTGTGTCATATAATATACGGGTATGTAAATAATATTTACTTTATTTAGTCATGTTCATGTAGTGTAGTGGTGACCCTTCGAGAGGGTGAATTGCAACGAAATTTCATCATAATGTATAGCGATTTAGTGTGCATTCAAAGTGACAATAAAGTTATTTCTAAAGTTTCTAAGTTCTCTACGGGAACTCCGGGAGTTAGAAGTCCGCACACACTTTAAAAGCCGCCGAGGTTGAGGAAAAGACGGCGCAAGAAACCCTAAAAAACTAAAAAAAAAGTCCGAGGGTATTCAATTTCAATTGAAACCCCCACATGACTTGCCCTTTTCCCGCTTTAGGTTTTCGGGAGGGGTCGCGAGCAGAATCTAGGCAGCTCAGCGGCGCCAGTTCTGATTGGTTGGGAGCGCCCGACGTCAAGGGAAGCTACTTCGCTTGCGGGCGCGCCAAAAATGAAATGGAAGAACGAAACGAGGGGAAGAGATTGAGGGGAGGCCGATCGGGGACGCTTTGAGGCGTCGCGGCCGTCGCCCACGGCTTTCGGTCGGATACGTTTTCACTTCTCTCTCCTGCAGTCGGCGGTAACTGAGACTTTGAACCTCCAAAATGAAGCGTTCGGGAGACCAAAAAAATAAAAATAAAAAATCTAGCCGAGTTTCCCCATTCGGCGGAATTGCCGAGGATTGATTGATTGATGCTTTCTTTCTTCCCTCCTTTCTCTTCCTTCCTTCCTTCCTTCCTTTCTCTTCCTCTTCAAATGGAGGAACGAATACGTTTTGCCTGAAGCTAGGGACCCCAGATATAGGTTCAACACCTTCCCCCATAATTGGGTTAAATTCTTTTTTTTTTAGAAAATTGACTCCATGGAGTGTGCTTGGGAATGGTCATGAGAGGAAATGGAGGGGTCCATTTATTCAATGTTTTCCTTTAATGGTTACGTGTACAGATAGTCCTCGACTTTCAACAGTTCGCTTAGTGATTGCTCGAAGGTACAATGGCAGTGGAAAAAGTGACTTATGACCATTTTTCACACTTAGGATCATGGCAGCATCCCCATGGTCATATGATTGACATTAGGATGCTTGACAATTGAGTCACATGATGGTGGCAGTGTCATGTGATTACCTTTTGCGATTTTCCGACAAGCAGTGTTAATGGGGAAACCAGATTCACTTAACAATCGTGTTACTAATTTAACAACTTGCCACAAATGTGGCAAGAAAAGTCATAAAATGGGGCCAAACTCACTTAACAAAATTTCCCATGTAGCAACATAAATGTTGGACTCAATTGTGGTCATACGTTGAGGACTGTATAAGTTTTTTTGAAATTATTTGGCACTTGAAGTGAAAGGATGTCTTGGTGCAGTGCTATCAAAATTTATTTGAAAGTAATTCCCGATTGTATTAATTGAGTCCTAAATAGATCTGCAAACACCACCATAGAAATAAATCGATGTATACCTTAATAATTACGTTCAAAATTAATGTTTGCTACATAGGTATTGTCTTTTGATTCAGAATGCAGATCTGTTAAAATGCCAAGATGAGTACTGAGTCTAGCAGGAAAGGTTCTGGACGAGGAGGTGGTTTTCAAAGGTGGAGAAGAGGAAGATGGCAAGGGAGAGGAGGAAAAGGAAGTGGGCAGAAAGAAAACTGGAAAAATGCTGGCGAGAAATTGGGTATGTTAATTCCACAGCTTTATTCATTTATTTATAACATTCATATGATTGCCCAAGTCAGGAAGCATGACTGTGAGGAGTGTACAACAATCAGCTAACACAGGAAAACAATGCATATCATTAACCATGGGGAGGAACAGACTCAGGCTCAACCCATCCAAGACCGAGTGGCTGTGGTTTCCGACGTCCTGATATAGTCAGTTGGTGCCATCACTGACTATTGGGGACGAGTCATTGCCCCCCACGGAGAGGGTTCGCAACTTAGGCGTCCTCTTGGACTCACGGCTGTCTTTAGAAGAGCACTTGACGGCTGTGGCCGGGAGGTCTTTTTATCAGGTTCGCCTGATTCGCCAGTTGCGTCCCTTTCTGGATCGGGACTCGTTAAATACGGTCACTCATGCCCTCGTCACTTCACGCCTGGACTACTGTAATGCTCTCTACATGGGGCTCCCCTTGAGGAGCACCCGGAGGCTCCAGCTGGTCCAGAATGCGGCCGCGCGGGTAGTTATGGGAGCAGCATGGCGCTCCCATGTGGCTCCCCTCCTGCGCGAGCTGCACTGGCTCCCGGTGGTCTTCCGGGTGCGCTTCAAGGTCTTGGTTACCACCTTTAGAGCGCTCCATGGCTTAGGACCGGGGTATTTACGAGGCCGCCTTCTGCCACCAATAGCCTCTCACCACCCAGTACGCTCCCATAGAGAGGGGCTTCTCAGGGTGCCGTCAGCCAAACAGTGTCAACTGGCGGCCCCCAGGGGGAGAGCCTTTTCTGTGAGGGCACCCACCATCTGGAACGAGCTCCCCCCTGAGATACAGAAGATCCCGGATCTGCGCACTTTCCGCCGTGCCCTCAAAACATTCCTGTTTCAGCAGGCCAGCCTGGCCTAACTTTCCCTTTATATTGCTTCTGATTTTGTTTTAAACTGGGATGTCTTGAATTATCTAGGACCAGAGTGTTTAGTATATTTTAATTGGTTTTTTAATGTTTGTATTACATGTATTTTTATCTTTTGCTGTTCACCGCCCTGAGTCCCTCGGGAATAGGGCGGTATATAAATTTAATAAATAAATAAATAAAATAAATAAATAACACCCCCCCCTCCTTATGTTGCTAAAACAATGAAATGGCAGTCAAAAATAAAATATATTTTAACTGAACCAGTTGGGAACACTGCTTATCTTTGGTTGCCTTCTTTGGTCTTCCTGGGGGCCAACCATATATGTGGGGTGGGGGGGAGAGGGGGGAACATAATTCCAAAAGGAAGGGGCTGCCACCAAGAAGGCACACCTCATGAAGTGACATTATTTCAGTGAAAATGAATGTTTTAATTCTAGAATGTTTCAATGAAAGTCATTCCAAATAACACCTCAGGACCATTCCTGCATGATCTTATTTGCTTTGGAGACTTAAAAGAACCTAAAGTTTCTGAATTAAAAAAATAGTAATAGCATAATACAATGCCTGAAGCCTGGATTATTATGCTATAATTTAGATAAAATTTTTAAAACGGAATCTTATGGTCAAGCTTTCCCTCTGTACAATACAGGGAGTTATTACCGTTATTTTAAATACAGTATTTGTAGATACAGTATGTTGTATATAAATTGCTTTTAATGAATTAAAAATGCTCAATTTTATTACTAACTTTTTGAGGGCATACTTTTCAGCACAACCTCCTCACCTTATTCAAACAACACTGGACAAGGCTACTCCATATAAAGGCTGGAAACTTTATTTCTCTGAAGGTGAGGTCGTCTTTTCCTTGTACATGGTACAGTTGAGAGTTGGCTAGGATTGGAATTTACAAGCTATAGGTCATGATGCTCTGGGAGACCATGAGCAAATTTTGAGGAGAGGGTCACAGATTTTTTTTTTTGTAAGATTGTACAATCTTATGCTTGGATTGCTGGCAGAAATTGTTCCTGTTCTGTCCGCATAAAGTCCTCTGCCTGAATGAGGCAACCAAGACTGGAGTATCAGCCTTATGCTGGATTGGCAGAGGCACATACTGTATATTGACATAAATTACAACAAACTGAAGAAGTCAAGTGGGTATGATGAAATAACAAGCAGGTGATTTATTTTAGTATAACAACCGAACAACTTAAAGTGAGAAAGAGCTAGTATGGTATAGTGTTGGTGCTGGACTAGGAGTTGTGGGGACCAGATTCTACCTTTGGGTACAGAAGCCATTCCCTCTCAGCTCTAATCAACCACAGGCTCTGCAACAAGCCAAATGCAAGCCGGGCCTGGTAGCTCAGCAGACTAAAAGTATTGTGATTAACACCAGCTGTCTGCAATTACTGTAAGTTCGAATCTCACCAGGCTCAAGGTTGACTCAGCCTTCCATCCTTTCAAAGGTAGGTGAAATGAGGACCCAGATTGTGGGGGCAATAAGCTGACTGTATAAATATACAAAAGTATGAAGGCTATTGCTTAACGCATTGTAAGCCGCCCTGAGTCTCTGGAGAAGGGCGGTGTGTGTGTATATATATATATATATATATAAAAGAAAAACAAGATTTATTGCATTGGTACTATATAAAAATAAAATGCAAGTAGAATACTTTTGTCTAAACGTTTGGATTGTTTCAGGCACACGTAATATGGTTCGTGTAAATTGTGCTGTTTGCAGTAAAGAAACCTATTTATATAAAAAAGTGATGTAATATTATAAAAAGCACGCGAATTAAAACTGAGTCTCCCTATCAGGGATAAATTGAATATGTGTTTTAGAATATGATCAAAATTTCACAAACTTTTAATTTTTTAAATATAAAAACTACTCTAAAATACAATGGCAATATATTGTGTTTCCTTGTCATGCAACTCAATAGTTTTCCTATATGATGAAGTAAACCTGTGTTCAATGAAACATTAATATTGTATCATTCCTATGCATTGCTAAGCAATCTGTAGTTGGATTTCACACACTGCTAACCTTAATGTAATTGGTCTTGGCCTAGTGTGTGAATTCTCTCATTACAACTTAGTACTACACTACATGATGGTTAAATCCTGGTTTATCATGTGTATTCAACTACTTATTTTTGGCATGCCTAAAACTTCATAAAATGAAGCTATAAGATTTCTCTCTGGCATATAGCTTCATTAATTATGATAACTGCAGTCAAAGTAATGCTCGTGAGATAAAAGATGGTCAATAAGACAAAATTATATTTACCTGAAGAAATTAAATTCTTAATATTGTAAATATTAATGCAGTGTCTTTAAATCCTCAGGAGAACTTTTTAAAGCTACAGCTAAATATAATGTATTGTTATATTGGCTTGTAAAATCAATACGTTTGTTAATTAATATGTTCGTATATGTTGAATTTTATCTACAGTCAACTATATTAACTATTAATCAAAATTCTCTAATTCAGCATATGATGACAACTCACCTTTTGTTCAGAAGATTGTAGCTTTTGAAACTTTTTTCAAATCTCGAATAGAGTTTTATGATAAGGTATGTTATTAGACTATATATTGTTTGGGATAGGATACTTTTGTTTTCTGAAGCTGGTTTAACCACACATTTGTATATTTGCTTCTTGTATTTATATGCTGAAGGAATCCAAGGATTCCTGGTATTTATGAACATTTTAATTTTGTTTTTTCTAAGAGAATTTTGCAGATTGATTCTGTCAGAACCTTTAGAAAATTTGTTTAATCTTATTCTTCAGTGCTCCGTGATCTAATTTTTTAATGCTATGTTTTGTATTTGGATGGATGGACAAATAGAGGACATTTTTAGAAAATAAGTCGTCTTGTCCTAAACTATACCATTTTGTTCTTCACATAATTAATTATTTGCATAGCGTATGTTAACCTTTCAGTCAAATTTATCTGATTTATCTTTTTTATTTTGTGCTCAAAGTGAAAAGAGGGAAGCGTACGTCAGTGGTGTTGCTAGGTTCAATGAACAAAGAATTTATGAGATCATCCTCATATAATGCAGATGATGCATGTTTTGGAAAATGAGGCAGTTAAATCAACAATTGGTATTTTTAGTAAAATATTTTTCTTTAATATTTGAGAATGCTTGGGCTATGATTAAAATAATGTGTAATGGAATGAACAAAAAATAGAGTTGTAACTTTACTGAACACAAATTCACACACCATTTTATAGGATGAAGTAGAAAGAAAAGGAAGTATCCTTGTGGATTATAAGGAACTGATATGTGATAAAGAATTAGTGGAATCATTACCTGATGTTGCTATTGAATTAAGAGATACACCACAAAGAATATTGGACTGCATGGGTTTGGCCATACATCAGGTAAATGAACTAGACAAATAAGATATTTTTACATTCCAAAACCTTATTATTCACAAAATGCAAATCTTAGCTAAGAGAACAATTGTATTTACATTTCATGTAAAAAAGGAACAATAATACTATCCATACATACACATCTTAAAGCCTCGCTGAATTCATCAGGACTTAGAAATTTCCATAAAGTTTGAGCCCAAATCTTAAAATAAACTAGTTAGTTTATATTCTTGGGGTAAATGATGCAACAATAAAAAAGGATTATGAATATTTTATAACTCTGCTTGGCAGTGAAATCTTGCATATGTGTGTGAAGCAGGATTCCCTATGTTTTGAAAAGCAGGCTAGCATGAGCAGAATATGAATTAAAGCAGTCCCACCATTTAGAAGTGTCATGTAGTTGCTTCAAAGGCTGTTTGGGTGTCTGTACATGTGTGCATGCACAGGAACTTTGCTGACATTCACATCAGGATTCTCTCACCCAAAAGCAGATGAAAGCTAGACACAGCTGCATTAGGACTTCTTTACAATGCTAAGTAGTTTGGTTTCTAATTGCTAATTGCAGAGGGCTCTAAACAATCTCAATTGTGGGGATTAGGGGATCCTTTGGAATAGTATAGCAGGGACAATGCATATTACAGTGGAAAAGAAAAATAAATTACAAGACAAGCTTCCCTTTGAGAGTTAAAAGCACCATCTGCTTCTAAAAATGATATTTCTCTTAATTATTTAATGGAAGTCAGGCAGTTTCTTTTTTATTCTCTAAGGTATTGATCAAAGACCTTGAAAAGCATGCTGCAAAGCTGCAAGAGCAAGAAGGGCTGCCCATTGACGAAGAGCCTATTATAAATATGCCACTTATTCATGCAAGGTATCTATTTTTTTAAATTATTCAATTATGAGAAAAACTGAAAACGTTTTAAAACGTTTTGCAGACTTATATATGAATACAAAATGGCAAGAACTCTAAGTGACATTTTTGAGAAAATGATAGCATAAGAAATCCTAGGAAAATGTAATAATATTACTAATTTCTAGAGTATCACAGAAAGCTGGTTTACCACTTGTACCAGTAGTCATATTGACCAAATTGTGGATTGGCCCCAGTCCAGTGGTGAAATCTAAAATTTGGTACTACCGGTTCTGTGGGTGTGCCTTGGTGGTGGGGTAATGTGACTGGGTGGGCGTGGCCAATTTTTTTTTACTTTGAAAACCATTTTTTCTCCAACCTCTTCAGCGAAGAGGTTGTAAAAAAATGCTTTCAAAAGGCTCTGACGATCCCAGCTGAGTTGCCTGATGGCAGAGGCTTTTTTAAAAAAATCTGCCGATCAGGCAACTCAGCTGGGATTGTCCGAGGCATTTTTTTTTTTTTAAAGCATTTTTTGGCTGAAGAGGTTGTAGAAAAAATTCTTTTAAAAGTAAAAAAAAAGCCTCTGATGATTGTGCGGCTCAGCTGGGCATGGGGGGGCCAGGGATTTTTGCTATCAGTTCTCTGAACCACCCGCCTCCATCGCTACCGGATCAGGTGATCCGGTCCAAACCGGGAGCATTTCACCCCTGCCCCAGTCAATGCTAGAATTGTTTTTACCTGGTGCAAAGAGCCAATTTCTCATACAAGGCAGGAAATTGCAACCTCTGTATTCTGTACAGCAACAAAGAGATGTTCTTGGGATCCAAATCACAAATCAAGAACCTCTGAAAAATACAGTAAATTACCATACTTTTTATACATTTAAAAAACCACACCAAAATCGCATCATAACTAGCAAGCAATAGGCAACAACTAGTAAATTATTCATACCACTGGTAGATGGCCCTCTCAGAAGGTGGGTTCATTATTAAGATATTGTAGCCCTTGTTCTTGTTCTTCTGTCTCTAATTGATAGCTGAGTATACAAAATTTTCTATATAATTTATCTACAAAAGGAAAGGGGGATTAGCTTTAAATCTACTGCTTTTGAGGGAAAGGATAGTACTTTTTTATATAATAGCAACCACATGATCATTCCAGGAATGTGCAAGCCACAGCAAGCTGCTAAAAAGAGAAACAGCAACAATGGAGTTTCTCTGACTCAAGCCAGCTATATCAGTCCTTCACTCACCTAATTGAAATGATGAGCAGTAATACTATTGCTGTATGTAGGAATAATTTCTCTGCCCACATTTAGATTTATCAACGAGGCACACTTACTTCAGAGAAATGCCTTGGTAGGATTGCATCTTTCTGTTTATTTGATTTGTGAGGGCAAATATTTTTTCATTTCTACTTTATAGCAAATGCAATTTTCTATTTTATCCCCTCTGGGAAGCTATTCTATAGAAACCATAGACATCTGCAAGGTTACTCATGAATCACTCAGAAATAACTTCAGTGAAGTATGTTATTTAGAAGTAGACCTAAAAATTAAATGGGCTTAAGTATGCCTAAAATAGCCCTTCTCCAGAATGCAGTCTTGGGTTTTATTATGCCTGAATGCAAGTAATATGAACTTTCATTCAGACCATCTAGCAGTAATTATTTTCTGCCTTGAAGGATATTGCTTTGAAAAGATCTCATCACTGTACCAATCTCTGAAAGGACTTTTTCCATTATGTCTTTGCAGAGATTGCTATATAATTGGAATGATGTATTACAGCTTGAAAATTCCATTTTTATTTGAAGTAGCAGGACTAAGCATTTCGAGACATTACTGAAAGTTTTGATTTTTTTGTACCATTGGATCTATTATTTTCTGGAAGGCATAAAATTATGACATTATAAAGGTTCCTAAACTGAATGTAGCAATTATATTATGTAAGAATAACTTAATAAAGAAAAAACTCCCTAGGAAGTTTTTATGTTTAATATTCTGATTAACTATTCAAATGCATTAATATCCAAATGCTTACATACTGTAAATGCAGCTTTTCTCTGAATTTCTCTGAATTTTGGTCTGCTAAAATAATTTTCAGTGTAAATGAAAGTGGATACATAGAAATAAGTTTTTACAATTATAATGTATTTGTGTTAAGACTGATTCACAATAGAAAAATGTTATTTTAAAATATGCAGTATATTCTTCTAGAAAAAAAATAATGCATTGGCTTCATTTAGAGAAAATTAAATTCAGTTTCATTTAAATCCATGACACATGTAAGTTATGACAAATTAATTTTTTTATTACCACTATCTATACACACATCATTGTTTTCACCAATTGTTATTATAAGAATAGTACTATTTTATACATGATGAACTCCCACTGAATTATCAGTATATTTATTTAATTTTAATATGTTTTAATATGTTTTAGAGTGTACAACTATGATCCAATTACTCAAATTAAGAATATTCGAGCTAATTGCTATGGGAAGTATGTTGCTTTACGTGGGACTGTTGTACGTGTTAGTAATATTAAACCTATCTGCACCAAGATGGCCTTTATATGCAGTACTTGTGGAAATACTCAGAGTTTTCCTCTCCCTGATGGAAAATATACTCTTCCAACCAAGGTAATAAAAAGCCCTCAAATCAAAACTGCTACCTCTTACTTTTTTTCTGAGTAGTATTTAAAGTTTTCATGCTGTGCTGTTTACTGCACATTTAAGGACATACATCATACCTTGATGAATGATGGAAAGACAAATTAAATTTAATTAAGTGCAAGCCTACCCAAAACAAACACAACAAATATAACTCACAACAAATATGGTTATGGTATAAACTTTCTTTTGTACTAAATTTGAACATTAATGTATTTCAGTGTCCTTTGCCTGAATGTCATGGACGATCCTTCATTGCAGATAGAAGTTCTCCTTACACAGTTACAGTGGACTGGCAGTCGATTAAGTAAATATATAATATTACCCTAATATTTTGGAAATTTAGAAATTTAGATTATTTACAGTAAATGCAAGGAATTAATTATACAGTATCTTTTATTGTAATGTTAAAAAGTTCTATTGAATAATAATTCAAAGAAAAACTCTCATTTTTTCTATAAAGTTATCCTTAATCCAGAGATAGTAATCTCCTTTTTCTGTAAGATTGGTATTGTGAGAAATCTAGTGTGAACTCTGGCTACTTGTACTTCTCCTTTCTCCATAAGATTTGTGTGTTTTTCTGAGGGTGGGTGCATATTTTAAGAAAGATTTTGTGAATCTGATTCATAATTCATTTAACCCTATCTTCAGCTCTGAGAAGTGTTTGCCAATATATATATATTGGTACTTCAAAACCAAAGGAAAAGTCAGAACGCTTGTTTTGATCTATCTATATACTGTATGCTCAATATTTTATAATTTTTAATTCTCCTCCACCAGTGGTATCATATCTTTTTTTATTAACTTGGTATTCCAGAATTCAAGAACACATGTCAGATGATCACCGAGAAGCTGGGAGAATTCCTCGGACGATAGAATGTGAATTGGTTCATGATCTTGTGGACAGTTGTGTTCCAGGCGATGTGATTACTGTTGCAGGAATTGTCAAGGTATCAAACACGGAAGAAGGTGATCTTTATGTATTGACATCTGTACAGTATTTTTATACATTTTAGAAAATGGCTATTAATTCAGTTGTCGATGTGTATATTTGTATTTTGCCCAATTAGTGGGCCAAAGTAAAAATTAGTGTCAAAGATTACAGTCATGAGATTTAAATTAAAACAAAGAGATCAGTATATTGGTACACAACTATTTGAAAACAGTGTTTTCAAAGTGAAACTGCTCTTAGTTCCTTACTTCTGGGTAGTGAGGGCAGCTGAAGCCAAGAAGTGCTGTATTTTTAGTGGCAGAGCAGTCTTCTGGAACAGTGTCTTCCATAGCATTCAAGATGGTGAAAATTCAACATTTCCAGAGACCATTGTAACTAAACACAGTTTTAGCCATTTTTGTATTTTTATCTTACAGTTACTTTATCTTAGTTTACTTGGATCTTGTAGTTTATTTTATTTACTGGATTTTTATTGTGGCTGTTTTAATGTTTCTCCATCACATAAGCCTCCAAGTATCACTTGGATTATGGTGAGGTACAAATGCAGTAAATAAATAAATATACTTTACAAAGCAGGGCAGATAAAGCCATATAATAAAGGAAAATATGTTTAGTTCAAGGTTAATGTTTCATTACTCAAAGCAGGTAACATCCTAAATTACATCTTAAAGCAGAGAAATGATCATGATCTTTCTATTGATATTTTAACAGGAGCATCAAGAAATAAAAATGATAAATGTGTCTTCCTATTATACATTGAAGCAAACTCTATCAGTAATACAAAAGGCCAGAAAATCAAAAATTATGAACATGGATTAAACCAGCAAGGATGCATGGAATTTTCACTTAAGGATCTTTATGCAGTCCAAGAAATCCAAGCTGAAGAGAATCTGTTCAAGCTTATTGTCAGGTATGTCATTTATTGCAGGTCAGGGGACTAACAATAGTGGGGGATCCGTCCTACCATATCCATCGGATATATAAGATATATAAATCAGCAAAACAAGAAAATATAGGTGTTTTAAATGTGATAATAGAACTATTGAGAGCCAGCATAGTGCAGGTTTTAAACTGTTCGATTGATGTTGGGGAACTGCAAACTCAAGTCCACCTATGGCTTTGTAAGTGACTTGGAGCCAATCATTCTCTGTTAATTACACTTTTCTCACAGGTAGTGTTGTGGTTGAGAAAAATAAGAGGGAAAGTTAAGTCTCTCCCCCCCATATGAAAGGCAAGATATAAATCTGACAATAAATATTTGTAAAATGTCTTACCGCCCTGTTGAACTGATAGAAATGCAGTAAAGAGCTTACTATGAGTTCTTACAGCATCGTAGGAAATGGCAGATAATGCCACCCTCTGTGCTGCTGGCAAAATATGGCACTGTTGAAAAGCTTCAGATGTAGGAGATGATGTCAGTTATACCATTTATGACATCACAAACACCATTGTAGATAAAGTATGAGGCTTAAAGTTACAATGTGTTGACAGACAATCTGTCTTTTAAATATTTTCAGTCTACAACTGATTTAAAATTAGGCTACAATGATTTATTTCTGTTGCTTATTTGTTATCTAAAAGGATAGTCTAAGTACAGTACAAGAATTATTTTTGTGTAACAAGTAAACATTTATACAAGTGTGGAAATCCTATCCAATCTAAAAAATAAAGCCTTAGACACCTAAACTTAATTACATTTAACTTGAATTTATTTCAGTGACATAATAATTAGATTTAGGGTAGCTACTAACTCCAAAAGGCTCTGGGTGGCTTTAATGTAAAATTAAAATACTTAAAAACATTGCAACAAAATGTTATTGCTACTATTATGATTAGTTGCCCAGTCAGCCAGATATTTAGACTGGATTTGGCATTGGTATCCAACCTACTGAATCCTTATGTCAGCCCTTGGATAAAGTTTGTCAGTTAACCATCTTTGGCTGTGTCTGAATTCCTTGCTGATGGCCTGAACGTGACATCTTCCTAAGGATCAAGGATAGACAGATGTTGATACTTGATGGTATTAAAGGTATCATCACAGGATGCAAGCTGTTCCAACGAGAGCTGTGTTTTACAATTGACTGCTAGTGATTTTGTCAATGCTAATCGTCTTCAAGTGTTTCAGATGTTTTGGGATTACATCCAAGGTGCCTATTACTATTTGGTACATATTTGCTTTCTATTGCCACAGTTGTTCCACTTCTATCTGCAGGTCAAAGAGTAACTAATATCTAGTAGATATTATTTATTCTGATTAGAATTTAAATTTTCTTAGTTTCTCTTTGCCCACACAATACATAATTTAGAAAACTTATTTTTCAAAGTATAGGAAAGCCAGATGCTACGAATTGTAGCCTTCTTGGCTGCCTTGGGTGTTCTCTCTCTAGTATAGTAATAATCTCATACTTTGCTTATGTGCTTTTAGAAGGCTATAGATTTTTGATAGGAGAGAACCAGTTTGGTGTAGTGGTTAAGGTGGTGGCCTAGAAACCAAGAGATTATAAGTTCTAGTCCTGCATTGGGCATGAAAACCAGCTGGGTGACTTTGGCCAATCTCTCTCAGCCCTACCCACCTCACAGGATTGTTGCCGTGGAGAAAATAGAATGGAATATTGATATGTTTGCCTCCTTGAGTAATATATGCAAAAGGATAATCCCCCCCCTCAATAGGTAATGCAGTATGCATCCGTACTTAATTAGTATTGTATAATGCATATGCTACATAATTCAGATGAATGGTGTTTATACAGGGTTTGTGAATAAATAGATTTGCGATACATAATCTTAAATATGTTTTTCCATTATATTTAACCAGGTAATACAATTTGTTTTCTTCCTAGCTCTCTTTGTCCTACTATTTATGGTCATGAGGTAAGTATACTCTAATAGAAATATTCAATGATTTGTATTCCAAATGCTTAGTAGAAAATAAAATATATGATGGGCCTAGATTATAAACTGCATTTTAATGGTCTGCAAAGAAAATGAATGAGGTTATTGTTTCTGTGGTGTTTGTTACTGTAATCCCTCTATTAGTATTAATAATAATATTCAATATATCAGCATTAAAATGAGTTTTTTATTCCTCACATACTCTGATTTATACTTGTTTTCAAGACCTTAATAAAACTATATGGAAGGGTTCTGACAATATGCCTAATAGCTACAGTACCTATAAAAATGCACCATTTTATTAAAATGATCCGCGAATTAAAAAGTGCATAATGGTTACAAAGACTTGTATGGTAAAATAACATCTTTACTGTTCTGGCACTATTGTGCTGTAAAAGATCTTGTAACAATTTTTGGAGGACTTTATTTAATGCTGCACTTCACAAGACTGAAAGAAATGAAACAAAGTTTTTTTTTATTGTCTGAACCTGGTATGTTACCATTTCATTTTTATTACTTCTAAAGAGTTAGAAGCTTCTTACAAATATTGATAGAGAATAACTGGATCATGTAGTACTTAGATTGAATTGTCCCTTGCAAATGTTTTATGGCTTGCTTTCTCGTGTCACAGGTGGTAAAAGCTGGTTTAGTGTTGGCATTATTTGGAGGATGCCAAAAATATATGGATGATAAAAACAGGATTCCTATTCGGGGGGACCCACATCTTCTCATGGTTGGAGATCCAGGACTGGGGAAAAGTCAGATGTTGCAAGTATGGATTCATTTGTTTATACATGCACTGAGTATCGTATTATTTCAAAATAATTACATATATTCTTTTTTGGGCATTTTATTCTTTTTAGCATAATTGGGTATGTTATTAATATGGGTAATTGGTCTATAATATGCAAAGCTAGCTTTTTCAATTTGTTTCTTCAGGCTGTGTGCAATATTGCACCTCGGGGAGTATATGTCTGTGGCAATGCCACTACTACATCTGGTCTGACTGTAACTCTGTCTCGAGACAGTTCCTCTGGAGATTTTGCACTGGAAGCTGGGGCTCTTGTACTTGGAGATCAAGGTAGTGTGGTCAAGTGTATTTATTCGGACAAGAAAATATGTAAACCTTATAGATGGGCACATTTATGATGGTATAAACTTTCCTTTTACTGGAAACTTGAGATGCAGTCTTAACTGACAGGCATATATTTTTCAAATGTTGGGAAACAGAATGGGAGGAATCTGATGAGAGAGAAGTAAAATATATAGACTGGTAGTGATGATTACATAAAAGAAAGAAATACTTACATGGGCAGATTCTTTGAACTAAATTCCCCTCCCATTCATGTTGGAGGTACCATTTAAGATGCTTTTTGGGTTGAAAACATTAGCCGGTGACATCACCACTGTCCGGGGAATGCCTGTGGAGGCTCTTGTCCCCATCAAGAAGCTGGAGTGGAGGGATGGCAGCTCATCCCGCCATACAGCAGCACTCTGATCTTGAACGTGGGTTTGCTAACCTCCAAACCCAGCCTCCTAATCACGTGAGCCAGTGTGCTCCTGAGAGCTAAACTGATTAAATATTTTCTTTCATTTTGGGAATTCATCACTCCTTTTTTTTTTTTTTTAGCACTGAAGTTTTACTTAGTCTGGTAATAAAACATCTTCAGGCAAACAATCGAGCTTAGAGAGCACCAAGGAGTCCACTGCTGAAATGATTGGCTGTTTTGAGTTTTCCATTATCAGTTGCAAAAAACTATTAAACAAAGCACATGCCTAACAGCATGTGATGAGTTGCAATTCAAGTATCCTGTCAGAAACTTATTTCATGAGAATCGAGGAATTTATGTTATCTTGAAAAAAATACAAGCTCTAAATAAAGTGTAGATCAAAGTGTAGCATAATAATATATACAATAATTTACTAATAATAAGCATTATTTAGGAATTCCAAAAAGCTATTAGTTCGGTAGTGTTCTTTAAATGCTTACCGTGAAAGATTTTACGTAAGTACTAAATTTTTCCCTGAATAAATTTCATTTTGAGCATGATGGATTTTATATCAGCAATCTTCTTAGTGTTGAACAATTGATTGCCTTGCTTACTTCGTAATTATTTTTCTTTTTAGGTGTATGTGGAATTGATGAGTTTGATAAAATGGGGAGCCAGCACCAAGCTTTGCTGGAAGCTATGGAACAGCAAAGTATTAGTCTTGCTAAGGCTGGAATTGTTTGCAGCCTGCCAGCAAGAACATCAATTATAGCTGCAGCAAATCCAGTTGGGGGTCACTATAACAAAGCCAAAACTGTATCTGAGAATTTAAAGTAAGTACTGTATTTGCAAACTTTCTGCTTTATAGTTTGCAAGACAAACAAAAAAGGAATTTTTAATAACATTGCTTTCGTGTGAATTTTGTGTAAATTCTGAAGCTGTATTCAGTTCTTTGAGGTAAAACTGTAGTACTAAACTCGATTTGTTTTTTCCATGTAGGATGGGAAGTGCTTTGTTATCCCGATTTGACTTGGTATTCATACTGCTGGATGTTCCAAATGAAGATCATGATCATTTGCTTTCTGAACATGTGATGGCGATGAGAAATGGAAAACAGACTGGATGCAGCAGTGCTACTGTGATTCGTGAGCATTCTCAGAATTCAAATATATCGGTCCTTGAAGTTCTTTCAGACAAACCACTAGCGGAGAGATTAAAGGTAAAATATTTGTTCATGTTTTGATTTACTATATCTTATCATCAGGGAATGCTGATGATGTCTGAAAAAAAATGATATATTTAGTACATTTGAGATAAATTGTTTTGAGATAAATTGTTTTGTATATTTAGTATGTTTGAGATAAGTTGAGTATAGTTATTAGAGGAATACTATATTCTTTTTTTGCTACAGCATAATTTGCAACCTATGATAGCATTACGGGGGGACTGAATTATTTCTTTTATCTTTTCTGTTCTTGAAGCTGCTAACCTCATAGAGTAATGTAGAAAGTGAATTTTTTAAAAATGCTTCTGTGGTTAGAAAATCAGAATTCTGTAATAAATGAAAAGAATAAGCAAAAATTAGCAATATCCAATAGATATTCTGATTAGGATTTAATTTTCTGAGTTTATATTCACCCTCACAAAATATATACAGCTAGAAAACAAAGGATAGGAAAGCCAGATGCCATGGATTGCAGCCTCGCACATTCTTAGAATTTTTGGCTGCTTGGGTTTTCTATCTCTAGTATAAGAATAGTCTCCATATTTTCTGTGTGATTTTAGAAGGCTACAGAATTAGATTTGAGAGATCCATTTTGATATAGTGGTTAAGATGCTGGTCTAGAAACAACCAGAAGACTTATAGTAGTTCTGCCTTGGGCCTGAAAGTTGGGTGCCAGTCAACCTTCTCTCAGGCCAAATCACCTCACAGGGTTGTTGTTGTGGAGAAAATAGGAGGAAGAAGTAATACATATGTTCTCTGCTTTGA